GATTATCAGGAGACATTTGCCCTCATTGTAAAGATGAGTTATATTCACACTCTTCTTTCTTGTGCTTTTAATTTGGGTTATACCAACATTTTCTTCTCATTCTTATGCTTGAAAAGTTTGTAGGTTGAGAAAAGCACTTTATGGCTTGAAATAGTCTCCGAGAGCCTGGTTTTGGCAATTTTTCAAAGCAATGCAGGGGTTTGGATACAAACAAAATAATGCAGATCACACTATGTTTGTTAAACACAATGGTGATAAAATTATTGTTCTTATTGTTTATGTGGATAACATAGTGGTTACAAGCAATGATGTGAATGAGATGTCTCACTTGAAATTATGTATGACAAAAGAGTTTGAGATCAAAGACTTGGCTCCATTGAAGTACTTTTTAGGGATTGAGGTTGCTAGATTCGATAAGGGCATCTATATATCTCAAATGAAGTATGTTCTTGATCTACTTGAAAAGACTAGCTTGTTGGGATGTAGACTTACAGACACACTAATTGAGACTAATCATAATCTGAGCAGTGGCATTGGTGATCATATAGATAAAGAAAGGTACCAATGACTAGTAGGGAGATTGATATACCTAGCTAATAGGGAGGCTATTAGCCAATTAATGCATGGCCCTCATACAGTGCATTTATATGTTGTTTACATAATTTTTAGGTATCTTGAATCCACTCCAGAAAAAGGCATGTTATTCTGTAACCATGGTCACTTGAAGTTGGAAGCATTCATTGATGTTGATTGGGCAAGGCTCAATTGATGATAGGAGATCTACCTCTGGATACTGCACATTTATAGGAGGAAATTTGGTTACATGGAATAGTAAAAAACATTATGTGGTGGCTAGATATAGTGCTAAAGTAGAATATAGAACTATGTTTTATGGTGTTTGTGAGCTTTTATGGCTTGATGCAAGATTTAGGAATTTTTGTTGATGGGCCTATGAAGTTGTATAAGTTGGGCATGAGAGATATTTATGTTCTAACTTAAGGGGGAGTGTTAAGAGATGTTTATGAGGGGTATTTATGTACTTTGAGTCTTATCTACACTACTAATAAAAATATCTTAACATGAAAAACTTTTGATTAACTATTTTGTCCTTATAAAATAGTATAAAAGCCCTTGTATTCATTTATAGTTAACTATTCAAATTATTGTTATATTTCTTTATAGTTAATCATTCAAATTACTCTTGAACAGATTTTATTATGTACAAGAAGATAGTACTAGATGAAGTACCATAACAAAAACTATAAATTTGTGTGTTAAATTATATTTTTTTGCATACAAATTCTACCAAAGAAAAATACATCATAACATTTTAATTGATCCTAAAAAAATAAAACTTCAGATGTCAAGTTATATATTTTTTTCAAATATTTAATAAGTATTGATCCTAAATGTTAAGTTCAATCCTAAAATTTTAGAATCAATTTCAAACACCTCAAAAAAAATATGACTTAACTTTCCTTCTATTTTACCCTATTTTAATATTTTAAAGTCAAAATTTTCTTCACCTAATAACTACCGTAATTTCGAAATTAGGCTCTTAAAATTATGAAATAATTGTTTTAAATGATCACAAAGTGACTCTATGAATTCTACGTAGAAATATTCATATGCATTCAATGTATTCATATTTAATATATCAATTACAATTTATACTTTTTAGACATAAATTAAAATTTATTTTGATTGAACTAAAATCTTTACTTGTGTAATTGTGAAAGTCTCTAACTATTCCTTTTACTCATGGCGACTCTAGAGTTACAAAGTTACTCTTATAATGTTGTTTTGTTTTTTCATGTTTAAGTATTCATAATGTTGCTTTACAGATACTGAAGAGAGAGATAAGATACTTTGATTGCTTCGACAAAGGCGACAAGCAACAAAAAAGAGAAAAAGAACGTTTAGCCTCTCAAGAAGTCCATTCTAAAGTTACAGATGTTGCCCCTAAGAGGCAAGCTCTCCTCTCCCCCCTTCTCTCTCTCTCTCTCTCTCTCTCTTTCTCACACACACACACACACACACTATTTTCGAGTACCGATATTTAATTTGTAATATGTATTATGGTTTTCATTGCCTATCATTTATCTTTTGATGATTTTCTGTTATCCGTGTAATAGCCAATATGAATTTCTCTAATTGTTGGCTGTTTATAATCACTCTAATATGAGTTTTATTGTGTTTTAATTTTTTTTTTATAAATTTTTTTGAAAACTTGATTTACATGCTTTACTCATGTGAAGTCATAAAGAAAGATTTGAATGAATGAGCAACAAAGATTCATGACTTGATCATGTCTATATAAAATTGAAAAGTCAAGGGTAAATTTAATATTTCAAGACAACAAAGATAAGAAATGTTAGTTTATTGTGTTAAAAGACTAATATTAACTATCTTAAGTAGATTTTGTAATGAGTTTGGCTATGAAATATGAACTTTATGCATTGAATTGAATAAAGTTGATCACAACTTATGCAACAACCATCTTGTTCCTCTGGTTCAGTTCAATGCAAAACACATACTAAAAAGTCTTTGCTATTATCATATTTGATTATTTGTAAGATAATGATATATGTTATTTAGGATTTAAAATAATTCACGTGCAATGCATGTATACATTAACTAGTTATTATAAATACATGAGGCTAAGGGATTTAACATAATTCTCTCATTAGCTCTCACTATTGTCATAAATGTATTCTCGTTCTCTAGAACCCTAATCTTATTCATTACCCTTCAAACAACCTAGACATTATTCGCCTACCGCCCCACTTGTCTGACCCTAAAAAATATGATTGAATTTTAAAAAAGAATTTAAAAGTCTCTCTCATCAAACGGGTCTTTAGGGAAAGGGAAGCCAATTTATTATTAGGAAAACATGTTATAGGTCCACATTCGGTGTCTTTTTAAGCTTTAGGTCCAACCTAAATACTTTTAAGGCCTAAAGCCCATAAAATCTACGATTGAAAAAAATATCCTTAAGTGGTTATTGTGTCAAAAGATATTCGAGAAAATGGCGATAGGTTCCTACAAAATTGCTTCATGCCCAATCAATGCAGAAATTACTATCTATTTCAAAAAAATTTAGCACAAATCTACATTGGAATCCAAACAAAAAAACGGTTTTATAATAAGAAACCATACAAAAATCATGTCCTCTTTGGCAATTGTTTAACTAGAGTTTGTGAATTTGAAAAACAAGTTCATTGAATTGCTCTTGCATCGAATTCAAATACAAAATAACCCCTAATAATTGTTCACTATCATAATCAACAAAGATACTAAAAAATATTAATGATTTTACATAAATATGTTCAAATATTTATATTTTTCATTGCAATGAAACCATCGGGATGAGGAGGAACCAAAACCTATCTTCTCACACACTAGGAACTCAAGCTAGAAGAGGCAATCTTCTTCCCTAATTGGATAGCAAATCTCCCACTTTGACCGAGGGGAGTACTTAGCAGAGAGGAAAAAGATGGGGTTGGTTAAAGACACGTGATTGTATTATTAATGCAAAGTTACTTTTCTGACCTAAAAACCAAAAAACAAAAAATGAATTATCTATACCACTTATAAATGTCAGTATCTATAAAAAAAATTTAATTTTTGATTTTATCTCTAATTATAATAATAAAATCAATTATACCATCTGTGAAAAACTTTTGATTTCCTATTTTATCCCTAATTATAATAATAAAGTCAATTATACCACCTATATACTTTCATCTATTTTTTATTTTTTTACTCATATTTGACTTTCAACTTATATTGGACTCTTTTATAAGTATTTCTAAATTATTTTAAACACATTTATTAGTAGTATAGTTACACATAATTTTATATATCTATATGAAAAAGTAAAGTTTTATATATTTTAAATTATTTATATCTATATTACTTATAAATGTTAGTATTTGGGAAATACTTTTGATTTCCTATTTTATCCCTAATTATAATAATAAAGTCAATTGTATCATTTGTGAAAAAATTTTGATTTTCTATTTTATCCCTAATTATAATAATAAAGTCAATTATACCACCTATATACTTTCATCTATTTTTTATTTTTTTCTCATATTTGACTTTCAACTTATGTTAAACTCTTTTATAAAGACTTCTAAATTATTTGAACTCATTTATTAGTAGTATAGTTGCACACAATTTTGCATATCTATATGAAGAAATAAAGTCTTATATATGTTAAATTATATGTATCTATATCTATTTATATCTATATCTATACTACTTATAATAGTCTGTGAAAAAATTTTGATTTTCTATTTTAACCCTAATTATAACAATAAAGTCAATTATACCTACCTATATACTTTCATCTAATTTTTGTTTTTTCACTTATATTTGACTCTTTTATAAGGATTTTTAAATTATTTTAAACTCATATATTAGTAGTATAGTTGCACACAATTTTGTGTGTATATATATATACGAAGAAGTAAAGTCCTATATAGATTAAATTATTATATACATATAGTTACCCGATTGAATTACACTGTCAAATATATGTTATATTTTTATTTTTTTGTATATAATAATATTATAAGAGATCTAATCAATCTATTTAACAAAATAAAAATTAATTATTTTATAATATAATTAAATAGGCAATGACTAAAAGGTTCGGATAGATACTTAAATAAATAACATACATACATATAAGTATATATATATATATATATAGTGTGTGTGTGTGTGCGCGCGCGCGCGCGCATATGTAACATCCATAAAATGAGACTTTAAAAATATTAAAAATCACCAAACAAATATTAATTATAACTCCCACATTTATTTGATTTATTTTTATTAAAAATATCCAACAGTGAGAGGGCAACAAAATTCAAAAGAATGGACTGATAGGGAATGATCATGTAAAACTTGTGTAACATCATAATTTTCTAGCCTTAAATAAAATAACAAAGATAAATCTTAATTAAAGATCAAAATAGCCTGAAAGTTTCCACATGCAAAGGTGTTACCCAAGCTTGTTCTGAGGAATAACTCTGATTGATTCTATAATTTCTGAAATCTCAGAGTCAATTTTGAAAAGTTTTTACATCATTTCTGAAGAGATCGGAATGCTACGCTAACATTCCATCATCGTACAAGAGCAAACATAAAAAACCACCCAAGCAAGAACAAAATAGATGAAGCATACAATCTTCAAGTAAACATTCTGTGTATTGAGATGTTTGCCTCCAACTTCAACAAGCTTTTCTGGGCAATTAAACTCTCCTTTATTTCCTTCATTCCTCTGTCCAACAGAAGCAAGCATTTTCTCGGAATCCAAAACGTCCTTCTCTTGCATGGCTTTCTCATACAGACTCCTTAGTTTCTCATTCTCTTCATGCATTTCCATTAGTTGATACTTTAAGTTCTCAACTTCCCTTTTCACCTCGAACTTCTCCTCCACAGGAACTGCTCGTTCATATAGTTCATCTAGTCTACTATAGTCCTCAATTAACACCTCAAGCTTCATCCTTTGTTCGTCAGTTTGCTTGGACAAGACAATTACTGTTCTGTATAGTTTTGCTTCTCTTTCGCTTGCAACTGCTATTGCATCAACCATAGTTTTAACCCCAATCAAATCATTAAAAGCAATATTGGGAATGTAATCAGTCTGTGTTTCTTCCTCAATGGCTTTTTTGGAGGCTCTCTCTGCTTCTAATTCTCTTTCCAAGTCAATAACATGCCTGCAACATTTCTTGAATAGTGAAGACCATGTTGCCCTATACAATAACTAGAAATATGGGTAAAATCATGATAAAAATGGAACTATTACCTTCCAGCTTATCCTTTTCATCAATGCAGAGTTTGAGTTCCTTGGGAAGTGCATCCAGTTCAGATTGGTTCTGGATGGACAGACATAGTAAAATTCTGCTTGTTTGTAAAGAAAAGGAATACATATGTGATAACCAGTAGGGGAGCAGCCCTTTTTCCTTTTCTGATTTGATATAAAGCAGAAATACCTGTACACGGAGGAATTCATTGTCCTCATCTATTGGAATACATAAAGAAGATGTTGGCTCCTGCTATGGACAAAATATTACAAATAAGCAAGCACTTTTTACTATCCAAATTTTACGTTGCATCTATGTTAATAACTGAGACGCGTCGAATGCTGGTTGAAAACTACTTCCAAACCCCCTTATTAGCCAAGGTTTGGCTCTGGCCTTTGAGAATTTCTGGAAGGGCTCTCTTTAGCCCAGGGTTTTAGCCAATTGCTAATGATGCTGACCACATGGAATCATGTAATGCATGGTTGATAAGTGTTATGTTATGCTTTATATTTAGGGTAGTTTGGTATTTGTGTTTATATATATAAGCTTGGATTAGTTGTGTGGTGTAACACACAACCCTAGACATATTCTTGACTCTCTTTCTCTCTCTCCAAGTTCTCTTTTCTCTATGTCTAAATTATAAAACTTCACAATGTAACTTACTAACAGAGCAAAGAACTAAATTTGAAACCTTAAAGTTGTCGAAAATAGTAAAAAATAGTCGAAAATTTTCTGATCTGAACGTGGTTGTTGATGTCAGCCTCTGACATACTGAAGTTAGCATGACTCGGTGCCAGAATTTTTTGAAATTCACATAGAGGACTCGACTTGATGCCCTGAGATTTATGGTTATTTTTGTGAGATTTTTTGAAATCATCTGACAAGGTTTCTAATTTTTTTGAAGAATTTTGGCATTTTTTTCGAGTTTTCCTCAGGTACGTGGTTTCTAGGGCTTGAATCCACTCCATGAGGTGCGACTAGGTGGATCTACAACACCCATGAATATTTGTTGCATTTTGATCAGCTCTAAGATGATTTTGATCAGCTCTGCAGCAGTGTTTTCGTGGCTGGTTAGCTCCAATTCTGATTTTTGCCTCTGGTTGAGGCTTCTTCACCCCAGGTCAATGTTTAGCCTTTGGTTTGAGGCCCTTTTGCTGCTGGGTTGCAACTCTTGGACTTGTATGCAATTCGTTGGTCGTGATTTCATCGTTGTAGTGTTTTCTCATAATGCGTAGACATGTCAAAAACTAGTGTGACCTCTGGGGCCGTTGCTAGTACTTGAGGAAGCGGGTTGATGAGTCGTCCAAGGGCTGTCTCCAACAACCCCTCAATTCAAATTAGCCCAGAGAAGCTGAACGGACACAACTATTTGGCATGGTCGTGGGCTTATTTATTATCGATCCAGGCTATTTCTTTATATGGGTATTTAACAGGGGAGAGTATGAAGCCTCGTAAGTCTGGGTCTCCCTTAAAGCAACGGACATCTGAGAATACTTTGGTCATGTCTTGGTTGCTTTACTCAATGCAAAACTCCATCAGCCGTGGTTTTCTATTGCTTGATAGAGCCCACAAGATTTGGACTACTATGTCTTATACATTCTCAAAGAGGCAACGGTGCCAAAGCATATGACCTTCGGAAGAAGGTTGGTGAGACTAATCAAAAGGATAAACCCCTTGCAACCTACTAAACAAAGCTGGCTACTTTTTGTCAAGAACTCACTACTACCAGAATTTTCTAGCAGATTTTCCAAATAATGCAGCAAAATTTCAACAGATGGTAGAAAAAGAATGAGTCTGTGACTTTCTTGATCTGGCCTTAACATCGAGTATGATCAGACTCGGGAACAATTTTTTGCCGGAACCCTTTTTGTACCTTATAAGAAGCTTTTGCCTATGATCAGTAGGAGGGGAACAAAAGAATGGTTATGGCTCATGCTCCCACTTAGGAACAATCTGCTTTAGCTGATATTCTGTAGCATGACCTTAAATTATCCCAGCTTAAGTCTATTAACAAGCTTGGTACCGTGAACAAGGATATTTTAAAGTGTGACTATTGTGGGAAGACCAGACACACTAGTGAGATCTATTGGAAACTGAGTGACGCCCTACGCGTGGGCGTGGTAGTGGCCGAGGGGGTAATGTTTGATCACATGTACACATGACTGAGTGTTCAGAAGCTCCACCTTAGTCTAGTGGCAGTATCTCTACTAATTTTTCCTAAGAGGAGCTACAGAATCTTAAGCATTTGATGGCCATGCTTGATGTTTTCCATACTACAGTTTCTAACTAAGCTTTTACTTCCAACTTTGCTCATTTAGGTATATCTGTTGGTGGTGCATTTAGTGCTTCATCCTCATATTCCCCTTGGATAATAAATTATGGGGCCATTGACCACATGACAGGTTTTTCTCGCCTTTCCTCTCCATACTAAACATGTTCGAGTAGGGATAACATAAAAGTGGCATATGGATCTTTATCCTCTATTTCTGAGAAAGGTTNTGTTTTCGTGGCTGGTTAGCTCCAATTCTGATTTTTGCCTCTGGTTGAGGCTTCTTCACCCCAGGTCAATGTTTAGCCTTTGGTTTGAGGCCCTTTTGCTGCTGGGTTGCAACTCTTGGAATTGTATGCAATTCGTTGGTCGTGATTTCATCGTTGTAGTGTTTTCTCATAATGCGTAGACATGTCAAAAACTAGTGTGACCTCTGGGGCCGTTGCTAGTACTTGAGGAAGCGGGTTGATGAGTCGTCCAAGGGCTGTCTCCAACAACCCCTCAATTCAAATTAGCCCAGAGAAGCTGAACGGACACAACTATTTGGCATGGTCGTGGGCTTATTTATTATCGATCCAGGCTATTTCTTTATATGGGTATTTAACAGGGGAGAGTATGAAGCCTCGTAAGTCTGGGTCTCCCTTAAAGCAACGGACATCTGAGAATACTTTGGTCATGTCTTGGTTGCTTTACTCAATGCAAAACTCCATCAGCCGTGGTTTTCTATTGCTTGATAGAGCCCACAAGATTTGGACTACTATGTCTTATACATTCTCAAAGAGGCAACGGTGCCAAAGCATATGACCTTCGGAAGAAGGTTGGTGAGACTAATCAAAAGGATAAACCCCTTGCAACCTACTAAACAAAGCTGGCTACTTTTTGTCAAGAACTCACTACTACCAGAATTTTCTAGCAGATTTTCCAAATAATGCAGCAAAATTTCAACAGATGGTAGAAAAAGAATGAGTCTGTGACTTTCTTGATCTGGCCTTAACATCGAGTATGATCAGACTCGGGAACAATTTTTTGCCGGAACCCTTTTTGTACCTTATAAGAAGCTTTTGCCTATGATCAGTAGGAGGGGAACAAAAGAATGGTTATGGCTCATGCTCCCACTTAGGAACAATCTGCTTTAGCTGATATTCTGTAGCATGACCTTAAATTATCCCAGCTTAAGTCTATTAACAAGCTTGGTACCGTGAACAAGGATATTTTAAAGTGTGACTATTGTGGGAAGACCAGACACACTAGTGAGATCTATTGGAAACTGAGTGACGCCCTACGCGTGGGCGTGGTAGTGGCCGAGGGGGTAATGTTTGATCACATGTACACATGACTGAGTGTTCAGAAGCTCCACCTTAGTCTAGTGGCAGTATCTCTACTAATTTTTCCTAAGAGGAGCTACAGAATCTTAAGCATTTGATGGCCATGCTTGATGTTTTCCATACTACAGTTTCTAACTAAGCTTTTACTTCCAACTTTGCTCATTTAGGTATATCTGTTGGTGGTGCATTTAGTGCTTCATCCTCATATTCCCCTTGGATAATAAATTATGGGGCCATTGACCACATGACAGGTTTTTCTCGCCTTTCCTCTCCATACTAAACATGTTCGAGTAGGGATAACATAAAAGTGGCATATGGATCTTTATCCTCTATTTCTGAGAAAGGTTTAATTCATTGCTCTCCCAGCATGCATCTCTCATCTGTTTTGCATGTCCCAAATTTTTCCTTTTAGCAATATTATGAACTCATTGAATTGCTCGGTGACATAGTTTCCCTTCAGGTCTTACAACAGTGGCATAGAGGTTTGGAACATCCTTCTTTTGGTGTTTTAAAAAAACTTTTTCCTAGTCAAGGAAAGCAGTGTAGTAGACAATTTTGTATTTGTGATGCTTGTGAATTTGCCAAGCACAAATGTTCATATTATCCTATTAATAATACTAGAAGCACTGCTCCTTTTATGGTTGTTCATTCTGATATGTGGGGACCTTCCTGTGTAATATCTATCTCAAGTTATTGTGGGTTTGTTACCTTTATTGATTGTTATTCTCGAGTTACTTAGGCTTACTTACTTTGCATTAAGAGTGAACTGTTCTCTTGCTTCCAATCTTTTCATTAAATGAACCAAGCTTGACTAGCCTTAGGATGCTCAGGCTCAGCCCATTGAAAGGGTGCTCGGATTTGGCTCGAGCTCAGATATCAAACTAGTTTCTTTGTTTTGATGGAAAATGATCAAGATTGGCTCGTCTAAGCTCATTTTTTAGGATCGTTTGAATCCAAGCTCATGACTGAGCTCAAGCAACCTTATTATTAGTATCGTACGATACGCGATACGTACCGTACGATATGTCACGATATACCTAAAAATCGATACGTATCGTATCTCTGTATCATTTTTACACTCTATCGTACAATACATGATACGATACGTGACGATTTTGTTTTCTTTTTTTTTTTGGGTTGAAATAACATCATTTTACTCTAGAATTTACTTTTAAATCACTAACTAGTGAAACAACATCGTTTCAATGGTTATGGTTTAAAAAATAAATATAAAGTCTGCTGTTAATGTTGTTTGATTGAATTCAAAAATCTTGATTAATATTAAAGTTATTCAAGCAGTTGATGCTAGAAGTTTAAATTAGAGGTCTTTGTATTTTGATATTACTAAACTATGTTGGGAACTTGAATGGTTGGTGGAACATTAATAAAATGCTATGTTATTATGAGTCTATGACTTTTTTACAAATGTATATACATATATTTTATTAATAATTATTTAAAAATTAAAATTGCGTGTATTTTACGATACACGATACGATACGATATATTATTTTTAAAAAACGATACGCCTTCCGATACATGATTTGACAACTATGACTAGTACAACACAAATAATTCACACAAAGCAAAACGGCCACGACCAGTAGCAGCAGCATATGCAGATTCACAATATTCACAATAATGGTTGCCCTTGAATTAAAGAGTTGTTCACAGATTCAACAAACAAATCGGATATCAAAGAAATAAAAGAATAATATCATAAACCAATTTGACAGTACATAAAAATCTCATAATTAATTGCAGTCATAAATCATTAAACAGATTAGATCAAAGCAACAATCTACAAAATCAAATTCCCCAAAGAACATTTTCAAATCAGATCGTGTCAGCTACTCGAATAAAAACAAGGCTTAGTTCATAAACATATTAGGTTCATATTAGAATACGAACGAGCCAAACAAGGTGGGCACAAGCAACTCAGTTCGTTTAATCTACTATGACACAGTTCTCACAAGAATAGTCACCCAAGTTGCACTTAATAATATGTCTCACTTGAAAGTGTCACTCTACACTAACATATAAAACGAAAACAGAGTACTTCACTTGAGGGAAGAAACTTCAACCAAGAGTAGCTCTGATAAAATACGAAAAGAAAATCTGTAAAAACAAGCTATTTTACATGAATGCCATATTCTCATAATCTAAACAGAATTGGAATAGCATGAAGCATCAGATTTTTGGGAAGGAAAAAAAGTTAAATTGCGGATAATACCTTGAGTTGTTGAATCTGCATCCTCATTGCGAGGACATCTCCAGAAGCATCTTCCTTCACAATAGCCTTAAAATGAAAAAAAAAAAGAGCTTTCTATCAGCCAGACTTAAATACAACAGTTAAAAGAGGAAATACAAACGTGCAAAACAAATAAATCAACCATGTGGGAGTCTTTTTTTTGAAGTCTCCAAAAACGGTGCTGGGTCTCATGCCACGTAATCCATTACATCGCCATAAATTAGTTCAAGACCAATAAAAAGTACAAATAGTTCCAGGCTTTTAGAATGCTGGCACTCAAACACTAACCCTTCTAAATACACCCATATATCATAAGAGATAAGCCCTCTTTCGTATTATGAACATGACTATAAATTTCCAAGTTAAAACCAGGATGACATACATGATCTTTAACGAAATTAGCACACTGGGCAAACTGCAATGTGCACAGGGTCTCTAGAGAACAACTGCAAGGGCACATATAATTGTCATTGTTTACATACAATAAACATATGAGAATTGTTAATCTTACAGAAATGTAAATGCCATGAATCCAACGAAATGACTTCAAATTCTAGTAAAACTATAGAACTTGAAAGAAAAGGAGCCCATAAATTTGACAATGGTTTCAAATTTAGGACAAAAGTCACAGAAAAGTCAATCCAGAAAATAAAAGAAGTTTGAGACAATATATATTGATGGCAAAAGTAATGGTTCAATTCAGGGAGCAATGTCAGTGCTAAAATACTAACCAGCTAGGGGGATTAATATTTGCAAGGATAATTGTTTTTGCATTCCCTCCTAATTAGCCCAGAAACGAGAGCCAAGAAAATAAATACATTAAATATGTTCTACCTTATTGCAAGTCTTTTAGACCACATCAAATTTTGTAAGAGAAAAAAGGACAAAGCTGGAAACTGCAAGTTTTGTCCAACTAACATGATACCCATGAATTGGTCTTAAAAGTGGTCATATGGATGGTATTATTTGTACCAAGAAAAGGAAATAGAAACACTATTAACTTTCAGTTCAAATTTACAAATATAT